ATTGTTGAACCCAAGGAGGACCTGGTAATGGAACTTGTAATGGGTGTCAGAACAGAGCGGGTCCCTCCAACTTTGCAGACACCAAGAGATTTTTCTCTCAACAAATGACACGAAGTTTCTGGAAACAACTAAGCCTCCAGGGAGGAAGTTGGTACTCAAGATTAAACCCAGATTTTATGAAGCTTGCCTTCCTGTGTCCCCAGACATCTCAGGGAGCCTGCTGGGAAACAAACCCGACCCCATCAGGGCCAACCAATGACAGGTCTCCTCATCAATCTAGTTCTGCATTCAGAGAAGGCACAGAAGAAATGGACCAAGGGAGCCAGGCGCAGTGGCACACGCCTATAATCCCAGTCCCTCGGGAGGCTGAGGCAGGAGGATCGCAAGTTCGAGGTCAGCCTCAGCCATTTAGTGAGACTTTGTCTCAAAAATAAAATAACAGTAGTAGAACACTTTGCCTAGCATGTGCAAGGCCCTGGGTTCAATCCCCAGGACCCCAGGAAAAAAATAACAACTGATCCGGGAAGTCCAATATCTACAAAACAGAAGTTCTACAACAAAGAAAATGCAAAGATGGCAGTAATCAAAGATGAAAGAGCCTGACCTGGGCATGGACACGGTCCTTCAGCTAAACGGCTAACAAAGGGGATAAATGTCCACAAGAAACACCCCGAATCACACACAGCCTCGTGAGGTCTTCGATCATCACAAGGGAAGAGGAAACCTTGAAAATGTTTAGAACTAAAATCGCCGTTTCTTCCCAGCTGGCAGATGCTGTCCGTAGGAGCCCGGGTCTTCAGAGGGCCGAGGTTAAAGAAGACCTGCCTAAAATTCTGCACCCGGCACAGCAAGTTTGAGAGCAGAACCGAGACCTCGGCGGAAACCTAAAGTATGAGAGAGTTTAAGGCGAGCCAGAGAGAGCATTTGAGGGCTGGGAAGGGTTGACATCTCAGAGACACTGGGAGGAAGATTCCGGATGACCAATAGAGACTCCAAAATAAGCCACCTCCTACCAGAAGAAGTTTGACTTGTATAATATGTCAAAATAGATCCTACTATATTGTGGACAACAGACAAGAGCAAATAAAAAAAAATTTTTTTTTAAATTAATCACACTCTGGTCTAACTGTGGGCAGGTAAGGGAGCTCAGGAAAGATAAACCAGTTCACCTGGACCTTCATCGGTTGCCTCTGGCGGCTGGGATAAGACCACATAGAGCTCCATGCTGTTTCCCATGTCGGGCCCTGACTTCCCGTAAATGCATACACCGTGGTCATCAAGTCTGTTTGTCTTCAATCTTTACAGTCTACCCATGTGACATCGCCATGTATTAACTAATTTATTTTGGGGGGGGATACTGGGGATTGAATCAGGGGTATTAAGCACCAAGCTGTACCCCTAGCTCTTTTTTTATTTTTATAACAGGGGTCTCACCAAGTTGCTTAGGGCCTCACTAAGTTGCTGAGGCTGGCTCTGAACTCACGATCCTCCTGCCTCAGCCTCCTGAGCCACTGGGATGACAGGTGTGTGTCGCTCAGCCTGGCTGATATCCCAATTTATAAGAAGTATTATAAATCCCAGGTTTCTGGCACAGCGTTCCTAAAACTCCATAATTCCCTGAGCGATACGGGTGGCAGGAGCATCTTTCATTAGAATATTGGCTCACTTGTGATATCTGGTCGCTCGGTGGTAGTGTGCTTTCCTGGCATAGGATGATCCCAGTAACTGAAAAAAAAATTTTTAAATAAAAATATTAATAAGAACTGGCGATGTAGCTCAGTTGGTAGAGTGCTCGCCTTGCATGCACAAGGCCCTCAATCCCCAGCACCACAAAACAAAGAAACAAAAATAATAACAATAATAATATTTGGTCTTTGATCTCGATTCCTGACGGAGCCCCCAGTCCTGAACCTTTGGGATTTTCCGGGTGATAGAGGCCTCTTTGGATCTAGTGAGGTGATTCTTGAGTGAGGGACGGCGGCTGGTCTCCAAAAAGATCAGGCCATGGTTAAGAGCTTGAACTCTGAGCCCCAAGCCCATCCTCCAGGGCTGGAGATAGAGCTAACAGCAGACGGTGCTCGGTGCTCAGTGCTCCAGTGCTGTGTGCTGGGTGCTCCAGTGCTCGGTGCTCAGTGCTCGGTGCTTGCATGTTGAAGCCTCCAGGAAAGTCCTCACTGTGGGCTTCAGGAAGCTGCTGGGTTGGACACCCACCGGGTGGTGTGGCGCACCCCAGCTCCACGGGGACAGACCTTGGTGCTCTTCTGGACCTTGCCCTCTGTCCCTTCTCATCTGGTGGATTATCTGTATTCTTTATCGTCTCCTTTATAATAAACTGGTCAACAAGAGTGAGCCTTTCCCCGAGTTGGGTCCAGCATCCTAGCAAATGACCAACCCTGGGGAGGAGGGGTGGGAACCTCGCTTTAGAGCGGGTCAGTCCCAAGTTCAGGAGGTTAAATAAAAACCCACTGAAGGTCAGGGGCTCGGACAGAGCTTCTGCACCAGGTCCGAGAGGTCAAACCAAGATGGAGTCGCTCATGCTAGTGCTCCCCAGCACCAGGTGGAAACTAAGCTGTTTATCCGTCCGCCTGAGAGGTCAGGGAGAGAGGGGGCAGTCAATCCCCCAACAGGCCCGTTTTCCCTTCTCAAAAAAAGTGACTTTGGCATGACCTGTCCACTTCCTGCTCTGCGTCTGCTTTCCTCGGCCCCTCTCTCCTTTGCTCGGTTTAACAGAACCAGGTGTTTTCCAGTTTTGGAATCACAGACACAAGCCAATTAAGACCTTTAAACGAAATTTGTTGTAAATTTCTCATTTTTTTTGAAACTGGGGGTTAAACCCAGGGGCACTCTAGCACTGAGCCATACCCCCGGCCCTTTTTATTAATTTTTTTTTTTTTGAGATAGGGTCTCACGAAGTTGTTTAGGTCTCCCTAAGTTCCTGAAGCTGGCCTCCAACTTTCGATCCTCCTACCACAGCCTCCTGAGTCACTGGGATAACAGGTGTGCACCACGTTCTGGGTTGAGAGCATGGTGAGAGTTTAGGGTCTCCAGAATCCCTCGCTTGCCTTCCGTGTCCTGAATGAAAGTCAGAGTGGCTGATGTCTGTGGCCCAGACAGCTGCAGGTCTCTGCCAGCAGGCCTGAGCCCCAACAGGCCCCTGCTATTCCCAGACACTGATAAGGGGGTTCAGGTTGTTGCCCAGACACTAGAAGGAACTGGCGCAGTCCTGAGCTAAAATCCCTCTCACCCTCCTGTGCTCCAGCCTAGCCCCCCTCACTGCTGATAAACCCAGGTACCACTTCCCTCTGCTCCTGGGTCTGTCCCAGGAGAAGCTCCCCGATGGCCACTTGCACCTGGTCCCCGGCACTGAGGGCTCCTTTCTTGGGACTCCCACGCGGCCCCATCGCTGGATGGTTTGGGCATTTTCTTGTTGGGGACCCCCCCCTCCCCGCAACAGCTACCCACAGCTTCAGTGGGAGGAAGCAACTATTTTTTTCTATTAGTCAACCACAAAGCCAGAAACAACGATCCTGGTTTTTTTCCTTCCTTTTTCTTTTCTTATTGATTGATTGATTGATTGGTGGTGCTGGGGAGTGGTCCCAGGCCCTTGCACAAATTCCCTCTTGTGCATTATAAAAATTGAATTTCTTTTTTTTTTAAAAAAGATACTCAAGATGCAAAAGCCACGGGATAAGATCTTGCCGGTTCTGGGGTTTGTAAAAATGTGGCAACAGTGTTCCCTCCCCTGTGGCCATGCCTTTCTCTACGAATTCCTTCACAGAAATGACCCTGCCTGAGGTTTCGGATCCCCGCAGCTGCGGGTTTATCTCTGGGGACATTGAACTTGAGGTGACTGGAAAGAACCTGAGTCATAATCTGGTTATCGCTGGTCACCTCATCCTGGGAAACCTTGGCAAAAAAAAGTGATCCATTAGGTGGTTCATGATACTTTGATGGTATTTAAACCTTCAACCTGACCGTCTTCCTGGTAATACCACAAACCCACTCCCTCTCCAACCAACTCCTCTTCCTTCTCCGTCACAGAAGGAATCTCGTCAAACAACGACGATATCAATAAATAATAATAATAAGCATGAGGACAGCACCCTTTATTGAGTGTTGGCCTCTGTGTCAGGCACCACGCCACACCCTTCAGAGGCATCAGCAATTGAATCTTGAACGTTATGGGGAGGGACAGTTGATTTTATGGTGGTTACATTGAAACCCAGAGAGGCTAAGCCATTTGCCCAACATCACACAGCTGAACAGAAGCAACAGGGGATTCAAACCTATGACTCTGCCCGCAGACCTTGAGCTTGAATCATCATCATTGATGACACCATTGTTATCAGGGGAAGAACAGAAGGATGAGAAGGGAGAGGCAGTGAATAAGGAGGCCGAGGTAACACTTCCTAAGCATTTATAGAGCACCGCGGGTTTTCATGAGTTCCGATACCCACCTGCGGGGGTGGGAACTTTCCACACCTACCCATTCTACAGACAAGGAAACCAAGGCTAGACAGCTTGAGAGCCGGCTCCCTAACCAGCAAGGTCTCTCACCTCCCCTTCCCCACAGCCATTTATTGAGCATCCATTCTGTACCTACACCTGTCGACCAGCGGCAGGACAGCCCTGCTTCTGTCCCCCCACGACACATTCCCAAGCACTCCCCGCGATCCTGCGACGTCCTGCCCTCTCCCGCTCTCATCTGCCCAGCCCTGCAGATTCCCCAGAGGGGACCCTGCATGCTCTGTGGTCCGCACCTGGGGAGACACTGGATCTTTTTTTTTTTTTTCTTTTTTGCAAACCCATGAATCTCTCTTCCAGCCTCTGTGCTGGGGCCCTAGAAACACAGCTGTCCTTGCCGGCTGTCATGCCACACTGGTCTGGCTGCCAACGGGCTCCAGAGCCGGGGTTGGGGGTGCTTTACGGGGCTGTGGCATTTTTAGGCCACCCTGGCTGTCCCCTCTGCCCTCCACCAGCCCGTGAACCCCGGGTCTCACCTGTCCACGCACCGACCTGGCGGGCGCCCCTGTGTGGTCCCTGGGTTTGCACAGCTGAGACGCCGACTCGGCTCCAAACTGGGTATTTCTTTCTTCCTGAACTCAAGCTCCTCCCTCTCGCCAAGTTTCTCTCTCCGTCGGGGCCATAAAGAGAGCAAAGTCCTTCTCAGGGCTGACTTCACTTCTGGGACATCATAAGGAAGTTCGCAGACCCCCCCCCTCCAACCTCCCGCCTGCAGCGCGGAGGCTGGAGCAGGAGTTTCCTGAGTCCTTCAGGCAGCGAGCATCCTCTGGAATGTGGCTCCTCCACGGGACGCCCCTGGGCACGTCTTTTGTCTGCTTTTTTTTTTTTTTTTTTTTTTTTTGCTGCTGGGACCAAATCAGACCTGAAGAGAACAATTCCAGGAGGAAAAGTTTATTTGGACGCTCAAGATTTCAGAGGTCTCCGTCCACGGAAGGCTGGCTCCATTCCTGAGGTGGGGGTACATCAGAGAGGACATGTGTGGCAGAGGAAAGCAGCTGGGGACATGGCACCAGGAGGCAGAGGAAGTTCCTCTCACAAGGGACAAAATATAAATTTCAGAGGCCCACCGCCTCCAGCCACCACCCCCTCCAGCCTCCACCCTCTCCAGCCTCCACCCCCTCCAGCCTCCACCCGCCCCTGCCACCACCCCCTCCAGCCACACCCCGCCTGCCTACAGTTCCCACCCCGTTAATCCCTATCCGCTGATTAATGCACTGATTATGAGGTTAAGGCTCTCCTAACCCAGTCATTCACCTCTAACTTTCTTGCATTGACTCTCACATGAGATTTGGGGGTCCACCTGACATTTAAATCATCACAGCCCCCAGGCGCTGGGCACTTTGGAGATGCGTACCTTGCAGCGACATTTGACCTGGAGATCTCACTCTGCAATTAATGCTCACAAGTGACTGGTCCCTTGCATAGATAAAGGACGCAGGGACAGAAACCAGCTCACATTTCCAGGAAGGCCGTGTGGAATTCCAATCCCGACAGGCACCCCAAGACCGGAATTGCGCAATCACTCCAAGCCTCCGACCTTTTCACCCCTTCACCTGCAAAATGAGAGCAATGTGCTCTCCCTCCACAGGGTTGGTAAGGGTGACATCAGGCGGCAGGTGGGAAAGGCTGCTCACTTTCAATGCTCATTTCCTGGGACAAACCATAGCTGCAAGAATGCCAGCTAATCCTCCGTGCAGGGCTGTCTCTGGGAGAGAGAGAGAGTCCTTAAGCACCCGGAAAGGAAGAAGGAAGCAGACCGTCTGGGGCTGGGTAAGATGTCTTTGTTTTTCTAAAGGCCAGAACATATTCCTTTTCCTGTGGCATTTGAATCTGGGTGAGAATCTTTTAAAAGAAGGAAAGTCAGGACTGAGGATATAGCTTAGTTGGTAGAGTGCTTGCCTTGCATGCATGGGGTCCTGGGTTCAACCCCAGCACCACACACACACACACAAAAAAAAAAAAAAAAAATGGAAGAAAGTCTTATTTCTAAAATTCGGAATAAATGGGGTGGGAGTGGGGGCTATATATTCCCTTCCCTTTTGATGCATTAGCACTCACCTTAAGTACAAAATAGTGATTTTTCCAAAAGAGAAATGCAATCATCTCCTGTGGTAGCAGAGACTCATAAATTGAGGAACTGTCTTAAAATGAGAGGAGGGGGAGGGGGGTTCTATAAGACAATGGTTGGGCCAGGTGCTGAGTGCAGGTAGCACACGCCTATATTCCCCGTGGTTCAGGAGGCTGAGGCAGGAAGATAGCAAGTTCAGAGCCAGCTTCAGCTCTAAATAAAATACATATTTATGGCTAGGGATGTGGCTCCGTGGTTCTGTCCAAAAAAAAAAAAAGATGGTTGCACACCCCAGGAACAGCCATGCCTGGGGCAAGAAGTCAATTCCCGGCAGCCAGCACCTCGGGGAACCCTGAACCTCCTGCTGCGGGCTGATCCCTGAGGGAGTGGACCAAACATCAGCCTGAGCCTGAAGGCCAGATCAGCTCTTGCTGTGACAGTCAATCAGGATTTCACGGTGTCTGCACGACTGACATTTGGGGCCAGGTACCTGTCTCAGTGACTGTCCCGTGCATCCCGGGCTGTCCCGGGCCAGCAGGTCAGCCCAACTCTCCCCGACCTAGGACAGTCAGCCCCCACCCCTAACCCTAACCAGTGAGCTCCCGGGCTTGACCCCAGCTCCTCCGCTGCTGCAAGCCCTGGCGAGATCTTCCCCGCCCGCCTCCTGGACCAGGGGCTCCTCAGCTATGGGGAAGGAGCGCAGTGCGTGCCTCTCCCCACCCTCCCACTCAGATCGACCTTCCAGCTCAGAAACCAAGTGCGTCCTGAAAGCCAGGACCCCCTGCCATGGCTCTCCAGGGTACAGGACAAAGCTATTGAGGGGTCTTCAGAACAGCAAGATTCGGGCTGGGGATGTGGCTCAAGCGGTAGCGTGCTCGCCTAGCATGCGTGCGGCCCGGGTTCGATCCCCAGCAGCACCACATACCAACAAAGATGTTGTGTCCGCCAAGAACTAAGAAAAAATAAATAAATGTTAAAATTCTCTCTCTCTCTGTCCCCC